CAACCACTGAGTGGTCCTAAGCTGTTCGTCCACAAACTGTTAACAGAGTGTAAATAAGGTTGACAGGAAAGAAACAATTTCTAAAATTTGAAAAAAAATTAAAAATAAATAAATAAAATTGAAGGTGAAATAAAGAGCTCCCCAACAAAAGAAGGCTAAATGAGTTCAGTAACACCAAACCAACATTGCAAGAAATGATAAAAGGACTACTTTAAGAAGAAGAAATATTGAGGGAAAGGTACATCAGCATAAAGGGGGAAAATGACATTAAATAAGTATATGTCTGTGGTAACCTTAAATATAAATGGAATAAATGCTCCAATCAAAAGATATAGGGTAGCTGAAGGGATAAGAAAACATGATCCATATATATGCTGTCTATGAGAGACCCATCTGACAGCAAAAGATTGACACAGGTTGAAAGTGAAGGGATGGAAAAAAATATTCCATGCAAATGGAAACAATAAAATCGCTGGAGTAGCAATACTTATTTCTGACAAAATAAACTTCAAAATAAAGACCATAAAAAGAGACAAAGAAGGTTACTACATAATACTAAAGGGGTCAATATAACAGGAGGAAATAACCCTTAAGTATATATGCACCCAATATAGGAGTACCTAATATATAAAAAAATTTCTTGGTGGACTTTGAGGGGGATATTGACAGCAACACAATCATAGTGGGGGACTTTAACATACACACAAACAGAGACATTAAATGACACACTAAAGCTAATGGATTTAATTGACATTTACAGAACATTTCATCCTAAAGCAGCAGAATACACATTCTTCTCAAGTGCACATGGAACATTCTCAAAAATAGACCACATGTTAGGGCACAAAACAAGTCTCTACAAGTTCAAGAAGATTGAAATCATATCGAGCATCTTCTTGGATCACAATGCCATGAAACTAGAAATCAACCACTATAAAAGAACTAAAAAATATTCAAACCCATGGAGGCTAAATATCATGTTATTAAATGATGAATGGGTTACCAATGAGATCAAGGAAGAAATCAAAAACTTCCTGGAGAAAAACGAAAGTGAACAGATAACAACCCAAAATCTATGGGACACAGTGAAAGCAGTCCTGAGAGAAAAGTTCATAGAATTACAGGCATACCTCAAGAAATAAGAAAAAGCTCTAATGAACCATCTAACACAACAATTACAGAACTAGAACGAGAACAGCAAGAAAAGCCCCAAGGAAGAAGAAGGAAGGGAATAATAAAGATCAGAGCACAAATTAATGACATAGAGACTAAAAAAAATACAAAAATCAGTGAAACCAAGAGCTGGTTCTTTGAAAAGATAAGTAAGATTGATGAAACTTTTAGCCAGACTCACTAAGAAACAAAGAGAGAGGACCCAAATAAAATCAGAAATGAAAGAGGCAATATAACTGACCCAACAGAAATACGAGGGATTGTAAGAAAATACTATGAACAACCATATGCCAACAAACTGGACAACATGGGTGAAATGGACAAATTCATAGAAGCATACAATCTTCCAAAGCTGAATCAGGAAGAGACAGAAAACGTGAATAGGCCAATAACAACTAATGAAAATGAATCAGTAATCAAAAAACTCCCAGCAAACAGAAGTCTGGGACCAAATGGATTTACAGGCGAGTTTTACCAAACATTTCAAGAATAACTAACACAATCCTCCTCAAACTATTCCAGAAAATTCAAGAGGAGGGAAAACTCTCAAGCTCTTTTTATGAGGCCAGCATCATCCTAATCCCAAAACCAAACAAAGAAACAACAAAGAGAGGGAATTACAGGCCAATATCCCTGATGAACATAGATGCTAAAATCCTCAAAAAAATACTAGCAAACCAGATCCAGCAATACATCAAAAAGATCATACACCATGACCAAGAGGGATTTATTTTGGGGATGCAAGGCTGGTATAATATTCACAAATTAATAAATGTGATATATCATATTAAAAAAATGAAGGACAAAAATCATATGATTATATCAGTAGATGCAGAAAAAGCATTCGACAAAACCGAGCACCTGCTTTTGATTAAAAAAATCTCAGCAAAGTGGGAATAGCGGGAACATACCTCAACATAATAAAGGCCAAACCTACAGCCAACATCATACTTAATCGTCGAAAACTAAAACCATTTCCCTTAAAAACAGGAACAAGATAGGGTTGTCTGCTTTCACCATTCTTATTCAACATAGTACTGGAAGGCCTTTCCAGAGCCATCAGGAAGAAACCATAAAAGGTATCCAAATTGGAAAGGAGGAAGTAAAACTGTCATTTGCAAATGACATGATATTGTACATAGAAAACCCTAAAGACTCCACCAAAGTACTACTAGAGTTGATAACTGAATTCGGTAAGGTAGCTGGATACAAAATTAACATCCAAAAATTGACAGCATTTTTATTCACCAACAATGGACTCTCAAAAAGAGAAACTTAAAAAGCAATATCATTTACCACTGCTCCTAAAAAGTAAGTTACCTAGGAATAAAATTAACCAAGGATGTAAAAAACCTGTACTCAGAAAACTACGTGACACTGAAAAAAGAAATAGAGGAAAATATAGACAAGTGGAAGAATATACCATGTTCATGGACTGGAAGAATTAACATCATTAAAATGTCCATACTACCCAAAGCAATCTATAGATTCAATGCAATTCTTATTAAAATACCAGCAGCATATTTCACAAAGCTACAAGAAATATTCCAAAAATTTTTATGGAACTGAAAAAGACCCGAATAGCTACAGCAATCTTCAGAAATAAGAACAGAGTTGGAGGGATCACTTTACCAGATATCAAACTATACTACAAAGCCACTGTAATCAAAACAGCCTGATATTGCTACAACAGACATATAGATCAATGGAACAGAACAGAGACCCCAGAAGTAGACCCACACCATTATAGTCAGTTAATATTTGACAAAGGAGACAAGAGCATACAATGGAGTTCAGACAGTCTCTTCAATAAATGGTGCTGGAAAAATTGGACAGGTACATGCAAGAAAATGACACTAGATGACCTACTTACTCCTTACACAAGAATAAATTCAAAATGGATAAGAGACTTAAATATAAGTCGCAAAACCATAAAAATCCTGGAAGAAAACATAGGCAGTAAAGTCAAAGACATCTCATGTAGTGTAATTTTCACTGATACATTTCCTCAGGCAAGAGAAACAAAAGAAAAAATAAACAAATGGGACTACATCAAACTAAAAAGCTTCTGCATAGCAAAAGAAATCAGCCTCAAAATGCAAAGAAAACGCACGGTATGGGAGAACATATTTGCCAAGGATGTATCTGATAAGGGGCTAATTTCCAAAGTGTACAAAGAACTCATACAACTCAAGACAAAGACAAACCAATTAAAAATGGGCAAAGGACCTGAATAGACACTTCTCCAAAGAGGACATACAGATGGCCAAGAGATATGAGAAAATGTTCAGTGTCACTAATTATCAGAGAGATGCAAATTAAAACCACACTGAGATATCACTTCACACCTGTCAGAATGGCTACCATCAACAAATCAACGAATGACACTTGTGGTGAGGATGTGGACGAAGGGGCACCCTGGTACACTGCTGGTGGGAATGCAGACTGGTGCAGCCAGTATGGAGGTTCCTCAAAAAATTAAATGTGGAACTGCCTTTTGACCCTGTGATCCCACTTCTAGGAATACATCCTAAGAATCCTGAAACACTAATCAGAAAGAATATATGCACCCCTATGTTCATAGCAGCACAATTTATAATAGCTAAGATCTGGAAACAGCCCAAGTCCCCATTAGTAGATGAGTGGATAAAAAAGCTATGGGACATTTACACTATGGAATACTATGCAGCTATAAAGGAGAAGGATCTTGTACTATTTAGACAGTATCTATGGACCTGGAGAATATTATGCTAAGCGAAATAAGCCAGGCAGAGAAAGACAAACGTCACATAATCTCACTTATATATGGAATCTAAAGAACTTAATAAACTGATGAACAAAATAGATTCAGTGACATAGAAGCATGGAACAGACTGATGAATCTTGGAGGGAAGGTGGGGGTGAGTGGTTCAGGAGAGAGTAACCAGAGAATTTATATGCATATATGCATAGCCCATGGACACAAACAAGAGTGTGGTTAAAGCCTTGGCGGAGAGTGGTGCAGGGTGGGAGGGGTAAATGGGGAAAAAAGGGGACATCTGTAATACTTTCAACAATGAAGATACATTTTTTAAAAAATGAAAGACTAAATGTTGGACACAATGAATAGCAGTAATTTATGATATTATGTTTGTAGTTTACCTAACATCATTTATAACTAGGTATTTAATAGGCATACCTTAAAGTATGGTGAAAAGTAATTAAAAACTATTTCTTGCCCTAGCCAGTGTGGCTCAAAGGTTAGAGTGTCGGCCTGCAGACTGAAGAGTCCCGGGTTTGAGTTTGGCCCCGGGCACGTACCTCAGTTGCAGGCTCAATCACAGGTCCTGGTCAGGGAGTGTGCAGGAGGCAAATGATTGATGCATCTCTCTCACATCTACGTTTCGCTCTCTCTCCCTTCTACTCTCTCTGAAAAGCAGTGGAAAAAAATATCCTCTGGTGAGGATTAAAAAACAAAACAAAACAATTTCTTGGCCCATTTGGCTCAGTAGTTAGAGCATTAGCCTGTGAATTGAAGGGTTGTGTGTTCGATTCCCTGTCAAGGGCACATACCTCAGTTGCAGATTCGTTCTCCAGGTCAGTGAGTGTGCAGGAGGCAGCCAATCGATATGTCTCTCTCATGTTGATGTTTCTCAATCTCTCTCTCTTCCTGTCTCTCTCTTTCTCCCCCCCACCCCCCTCTCTTCCTTTCACTCTTTGTAAAAATCAATGGAAAAAATATTCTCGGGTGAGAATTAACCAAAAAAACCCAAAACTATTTCTGATCTATCTTCTCCCCATCCTCCAGTGCTGACCATGTCACCTTAAACAAGATTGTGTTGTTACAGGTCTCAGTGTCATTCGAGGATGTGACTGTGGACTTCAGCAAGGAGGAGTGGCAGCAACTGGACTCTACTCAGAGGCGCCTGTACCAGGAGGTGATGTTGGAGAACTACAGTCACCTGCTTTCAGTGGGTAAGCACAGCCACCCAATGAATCTGTGAGGAGCCTATTATAGGTAAAATTGTATCCCCCAAATAGGTTCTTTACAGAAGTAATCAGTCTAAAATGAGGTTATTAGGGCAGGTCATAATCCACAGTGACTGGTGTCTTTATTAAAAAGAGAAATCTAAACACAGACAGACACACGCACACAGAGGGAAGACAATGTGAAGACACACAAGGAAAAGATGGCCATATGACTGGAGTGATGCATGTATATGTCTAGAAATGCCTGAGACCACCAGAATCCAGGAAAGAGGCATGAAATAGTTCCTTCCTTAACACCTTCAAAAAGAGCATGGCCCTGGTCATACTTTGATTTTGGACTCATATTCAAGTCTCACCCATAACTGATTGGGGTGATTTAGATGATGATATTTGAGACTTTGAGTTGATGATTTTGGACTTAAGAATTGATGCTGGAATGATTTAGACTTTTGGGGATATTGGGATGGGATTAGTGTATTTTGTATGTGGGCCGGATATTAATTTTGGGGGGTCAGAGGGCAAGCTCTGATGGGTTGAATTGTGTCCCCCCAAAAAAGATGTATGGAAGTCTTAACCCCCAGTACCTCAGAATGTGACCTTATTTGGAAATAGGGTCTTTATAGAGGTAATCAGGTTAAAATGAGGTCATATGGATAGGCCCTAATTAATATGACTGGTGTCCTTATTAAAAAGGAAAATTTGGGCACATAAATAGATACTCATAGAGGGAAGATGATGAGAAAACACATATGTAGAGGGTATGTGATGGCTAGAGTGATGCATTTACAACCCAAGGAACACCAAAGATTGCCAGCAAACACCGAAAGCTAGAAGATGCAAGGAAAGATTCTCCCTTTTATTCCCCAGAGAGAGCAAGACCCTGCTAATACCTTGACTTCGGAATTCTAGCCTCCAGAAATATGAGACAGTAAATTTCTGTGGTTTTAAGTCAGCCAGTTATTGGTACTTTGTTATAGGAGCCCTAGGAAGAAGCTAAGACATAACCATTTCCATTCTCAGCTGCTGAGTGCTCTGGGACATCTTAAGTGTATGATGATGTCATCTTTGATTGGTCTGAGATTCTTCAGAAGTCCCTTTCACCTCTGTGATTATTACTATTTTCCCAATGAAATGTAGTTACTTTTCTAAAGAACAAATGGAAAGCAATTAGCTGGACCCAGTTCTCTATTATATCATATTAACAGGGTATGAAGTTCTCAAACCAGAGGTCATCTTCAAGTTGGAGCAAGGAGAGGAGCCATGGACGTTGGAGGGAGAAACCCCATATCAGAGCTATTCAGGTGAGTGTGACCCAGGCAGGAGGGAGACATGGAAATACTTTTTTTTTTTCCTAGGAGAGGCTGGTGCCTTTAAAATGCTGTTATTGCTGCTTTTCTTGAAGGTTTAGACTTGAGAAACTGCTTGAGAATTAAGTAACATTGGCCTCTCAGGTACCAAATTGCTTTCTCCTTTTATTTTCTTTACTGTCATCAACTGTCTTCTTTGCTTGGGTTTCCTCCAGGAGAATTGCTGCAATTCCTATACTCTGGATCATATGCCAGCCTTCTTCACAATGGATGTTGCTTTCTTGGATATTCTCTTCTTCCATCACATTTTTATGCTTCATTACTTAACCACAACCCCAGGGTCTTAGAGTCTTACCACATACATTCAGGTTTTAATAGATTTGCCTTCATTGAAAATCAGTTGGTTGCCTCACTCCTATTTTTCCCAGTGCCCTTTCACTTTCTTCTTCCTTTCACTTTTGTTTTCTCACTTTAAGATATCAATAAACTGTTACCTGCAACCAACCTCACCTCCTCTCTTCGTACTTATCACCTTCAGATTCCTCACTCCTTTCTACCTCCCCTATCTCCATGCCTGTCTCCCATGTTCTGACTTTGTGATCACTGTCACATAGCAATTTTTCTTTTAAAATCACTTTTTCCTTTTTATTGAATTTATTGGGGTGACACTGGTTAACAAAATAATACAGGTTTCAGGTGCACAATTCCACAACACATCTGTACACTGTGTTTTGTGTTCACCACCCCAAGTCAAGTCTTTGTACATCATCATTTATCCCCCCTGTACCCTTCTCTACCTCTTCCACTCCCCCAATCTGCCCTCCAACAGCTGTCAGCCTGCTCTGTATCTATGAGTCTGTCTCTGTTTTTCTTGTTAGTTCATTTTGTTCACCAGATTCCACTTATTAAGGTATAATTTACATACACTAAAGTGTATCCATTTCAAGTATACAGGTTGATGAGTTTTGACAAAGTATACACTAGTATAACTACCCTAATCTTGATATATAATATTCCATCACACAGAAATGCTCCTTCATGCCCCTTTTAGTCAATGCCTACTACCACTTCAGCTCCAGGCAACTGCTGACATGCTTTTTATCATTGTAGATTATATTTGTCTTTATTAATGTTTTATGTCAATGGGAATCATACTGTCTACTCTTTTCATTCAGCATAATGATTTAGTGTTTTATCCATGTTATTGAGTATATCACTAGTTTGTTCCTTTTAGATGTTGAATACTATTCCATGGTATGAACATGTGGTAATTTGTTTATATGCCTGATAATGATAGGTGGTTATTATTTGGTTATTATGAACTGTAGTAAACATTTTAGTATGTCTTTGTGTGAACATATGTTTATATTTCTCTTGGGTAAATACCTAGGAGTGGAGTTGCCAGGTCATAAAATAAGTCTATTCTTATCTTTTTTTTAAAAATACATTTTTTTATTGATTTCAGAGAGAGGAAGGGAGATGGAGAGAGAGAGAAACATCAGTGATGAGAGGAAATCATTGATTGGCTGCCTCCTGCATGCCCCCTACTGGGGATCAAGCCTACAACCTAGGCATGTGCCCTGACCAGGAATCGAGCCGTTACCTCCTGGTTCATGGGTCAACGCTCAACCACTGAGCCACACCGGCTGGGCAGTATATGCTTGTCTTTATAAGAAATTACCAAACTGTTTTCCAAAGTAGCTGTGCTCTTTTACATTCCCAACAGCCATACATGAGAATTCTTTTTGCCCCTCATCCTTGCCAACACTTGCTATCATCAATCTCTTTAATTTTTGCTATTATAGTGGATATGTAATTTTTGCTATTATAGTGGATATGTAATGCATTCCTCTGGTGAGTATCTTCTCATGTGCTTATTGACCATTTATACTTTTTTTAGACAAAGTGTCTATTCAAATATCTTTCTCATTTTTATTGGGTTGTTTGTGTTCTTACTGAGCTGTAAGAGTTGTTTATAATTGCTAGATATAATTCTTTTGCCAGATCCATATATTGCCAGTATTTTGTCTCAGTCTGTCGCTTGCAATTTTATTTTCTTACTGGTGCCTATCAAAGACCAAAAATTTTAATTTTGATGGAGTTAAATTTATCATCTTTTAAAAATTTGTTAGTATTTTTTTGTGATCTTTTTAACAAATCTTTGCCTATCATAGGTCATAAAGATTTTCTCATATTTTCTTCTATAAGTTTTAGCATTTTAGCTTTTTCAGTTTAGGTCTATGATCCATTTTGTGTGTTTGATGTAAGGATTAATGTTCTTTTTTTAAAAAAAAAAGTCTTTATTGATTTAAGAGAGAGGAACGGGGAGAGAGAGAGAGAGAGCGAGAGCCTCCTACTGGGGATTGAGCCCGCAACCCAGTCATGTGCCCTGACCAGGAATTGGACCTCGATCCCCTGGATCATAGGTTGATGCTCAACTGCTGAACCATGCCTGGCCAGGCCATTTTTTCAATATAAAATCTAGTTGTTCCAGAACCATTTGTTGAAGAGACTTTCTTTTCCCCATTGAATTTCCTAGGCATGTTCATGAAAATCAATTGACTTTACATATGTGAACCTATTTCTGGACCCCATATTCTGTTAAATTGATCGATATGTATTTCTGTTTTAAAATAGTGGTTTTATTATTATTTAGGTATGGTGATGCCAACAGATCCAGAGATGAGTGCCATTGAAAAAATAGTTTGTAACTCACAGTTCCCAAGAGGAGGGGCCATGCCACAAGGGAAATCATCAGGGTCAGTCAGGAGGCAGAAGTTGTGAGGAGAGAGCATGGGCAAGAGGCTTTATTGTGATTTTCATGGGAAAGAATGAGTGAGGCAGAGTAATCAGGCTGGGAAGGTTTAGGATTGGCTAGTTTGAATAATTCATTGGAGGCTCTGGGGTGTAGGTACTGTTCCAGCGTGCCTGGTATCTGGCCCTTTCGTGATTAGTGCTGGGAGATACTGGCTCAACCTGTGAAAGTTTGATAAAGGAGATAGTTGATGGATAATGGGCTCTGGATTGGTTGGCTTGCATACTAAAGGTATGCTCACAGGGAAGTCATTTGCTATCTCTTGGAATTAACTAGCCCTAGGAAGGACATTCTCTCTAGGATCAGCAAGGAGGAAGTGGTAGAGCATCAAGAATACAGAAAAGAAAATAGTTAATCCACAGTCGTTTTGGCAAACCCATACTTGCTTTTATAGTCTTGAAATCGGGTAGGATAAGTTCTCCAACTTTGCATGTTTTTATTACTTAAGCTCTTCTAGGTAATTTGCATTTCCATATAATTTTAGAATTAGTTTGTAATATTTTTAAAAAGCCTGATGAGATTTTGTTTAGAGTTGAATTGACTCTGTAGATCAATTTTAGGAGAATTGATATCTTAACAATGTTGAGCCTTCTAACCCATGAACATGGATATTTTTGTATTTATTTAGATCTTTTTATTTCATTCAATGATATTTTATAGTTTTCAGTGTAGAAGTTCTTATGCATCCTTCATTAAATTTATCCCTAAATATTTAATGTTTCTTTTAAATAAACATTGCTATACAATTAGTATGGCTATATTACAATATACAATTGCTATTGTAAATGGCATTGTTTTTTTAAATTTTATTTTAGGATTGCTCATTGCTAGTATAGATTGCTAGTGATTTGATTTTTGTATATTGACTAAATCCACCTATTAGTTTTTTTCCAGGTTCCTTGGGATCTTTCATGTAAGTAATCATTATCGCTTTAGGGATAGTTTTACTTCTTTCCATCCAATCTCATGCTTTTTATTTCTTTTCCTTTTCTTATTTCACTAAGACCTTTAGTTTGATGTTGAATAGAAGTGTGAGTGTGGGCATGTTTGCCTTGTTCCCAATGTTAGGCTCAAAAAATTAATATCATTAAGTACGATGTCAGCTGTAGGTTTTTTTGAAGCTGCCCTTTATCAGGTTCTGTAAGTTTCTTTCTAATCCTAGCTTGTTAAAGAGGTGTTTAAAAAAAAAAAAAATCATAGTCGTCCTCACCAGTTTGGCTCAGTGGTTAGAGTGTCAGCCCTCAGACTGAAGGGTCCTAGGTTCGATTCCACCAAGGGCACATACCTCAGTTGCAGGCTCAATCCCTGGCCCTGGTCACAACGCGTGCAGGAGGCAACCGATCAATGTGTCTCTCTCACATAAATGTTTCTCTCTCTGCCTGTCTCTGTCTCTTACACTCTCTCCGAAAAGCAATGGAAAAAATATCCTCGGGTGAGGATTAAAAAAAAAAAAAAAAAATCATAGTTAAACGTTAAATTTTGTTAAATGCTTTTTCTTCATCTTATCAGAGTGACCATGTGAGTTATTGCTTTTATTGCATTAATATGTAAATTTATTTATTGATTTTCAAATGTTAAATTAACCTTGTATTTCTGAGATAAATACTAGTGATTATGCTGTATTACTTTTATTATATATTGTTGGAACCTATTTTTATATTTTGTTTTAAAATATTTGCATGAATGATACTGGTTTATAGTTTTCTTTTTTTGCAATGTCTTTGTCAGGTTTTGGTGTTAGGATTATGCCTGGCCACATAATGAGTTGTGAATTAGTTCCCTTCTCTACTTTCTGAACTAGTTTGTGTAAGATTGCTATTTCTTCTTATGCTGTTTTACAGAATTCACCAATGAAACTGTCTGGGCTTGGAGTTTGCTCACTGGGAAAGTTTTAACAAATTCAATTTCTTTAATATGGATAGGGCTCTTTAGATTCTCTGTTTCATCTTTTGTCATACATAATAAGTTTTATTTTTTTCAAGGAATTTGTCTGTTTCCTTTATGGTGTCTTAATTTCATCCTGTTGTAGCCTGAGATTACACTGTATGATTTCAGAAAATGGTCTATAGGGGAATGTTCCATATATCTCTGAAAAGAGTGTATATTCGGCTCTTGCTGGGTGTTGTTTTTAATAGAAAACAACTATATGTGATGGACAGTTGGAGTATAAACATCTATTTATTGTTTGTATAGGTCAAGACAGCTATCACCACAATATTTTTCCTAGAAACATGAATAAATTTTTTTCAGATTTTTTGAGATATAATTGACACACAGCACTGTATAAGTTTAAAGTGTACAGCATAATGACTTGACTTACATACATTGTGAAATGATTACTACAATAAGTTTAGTTAACACCCATATCATATAGATATAAAAAATTTAAAATGTTCTTTTCTTTGTAATGAGAACTTTTAGGATATACTTCCTTAGCAAATTAAATTGTTTTTTTTGATCACATGAATTTGGTATTGTTAATAATCAAGAAGCAACAAGATTAGTGAGATTTAGAACCTAAAGCTAATGAGGTCTCTGAGTTATTCCCTCCAAGCCTAGGCTGTCCATTGATATTTTCCCTGAAAACTGTTGTCTTTTTATTCTTCAATCCACCCTACTTGATATTCAAGCCTCCTACCAAAATTGAGCTAAACTGCTTATGTTGAACTTCAATCTCCAACACTTAACCATGTTTTAGGACAAATTATATATATAACCATTATGAACTTTACTTTCCTTATCTACAAGAGGTGAATAATAATAGAAAATACCTTATATAGGGCTTTGGAAAGAATTAAGTGAGTTGATATGTATATATTTTTTAGAACAATGCCTGGAACATCATAAGTGTTGTGCAAGAGCTTGGAACGTAATAAGTGCTGTATAAGTATTTCCTGTCATCCTTGTCATCATTGTCATTGGATTTGCTGGTTTCCGTGTTCAATTTGGATTAGCTTATATGGACCTTTTACTCTTCTATTATCTATTATTTGTGTTGATTTTGCTATTTTTTCTCTTTTTAGATGGGAAGTTTGGGATTAAGACCTCACAAAAAAGAATTTCTGGGAAAGCTTCATTTCATAGTGAAATGGAGGGTGAAGATATAAGAGATGATTCATTGTATTCCATTTTAGAACTGTGGAAAGACACTGAACAAATAAAAAGATATCAGGAAAAACAAAATAAACCTGTGAGTCATGCTACATTCGTAAATAAGAAAATATTGAATACTGAATGGCATTATGAATATAAAGACAGTGGAAAATTTGTTCATCCAAGCCAAAATCACATTATTACTTCACAGAAAAGACCTCATAAACGTGACTCATTTGAAAAGGGTTTTAAGCATAATTTAGACCTACATATTCATAATAAAAACAAAGCAACAAAAAACTTTGATAAAATTATTGGACACAGTCAAGTTTTCTCCCAGAGTTGTTCTTATACTAACCATGAAAACATGCATACAGGAATGAGATTTTGTGAAAGTAATCAGTGTGGAAAAGTCCTCAACCTCAAACAAGCACTCAGTCACAATCTGAATTTTCCTGTTGGGGAAAAAGCAAATATGTGTACTGAATTTGGGAAGATATTCACCCAGAAGTCACATCTCTTTGCATCTCAGAGAATCCATACTATAGAAAAACCTGATGGACTTAACAAATGTGTGAGTGTTTTTACACAGAAGCCGCCACTACTCAGTATATATCTGAGAGTTCACAGAGATGAAAAACTACATATATGCACTGAATGTGGGAAGGCATTCATCCAGAATTCAGAATTAATTATGCACGAGAAAATTCATACTAGAGAAAAACCCTATAAATGCAGTGAATGTGGAAAGTCATTTTACCAGGTGTCATCTCTACTTAGGCACCAGACAATTCATACTGGAGAAAAACTCTATGAATGCAGTGAATGTGGGAAAGGCTTCTCCCTGAACTCAGCCCTCAATGTACATCAGAAAATTCATACTGGAGAAAAGCACCACAAATGCAGTGAGTGTGGGAAAGCCTTTACCCAAAAATCAACACTCAGGATGCATCAGAGAATTCATACAGGAGAGAGATCCTATATATGTACTGAATGTGGGCAGGCCTTCATCCAGAAGGCACACTTGATTGCACATCAAAGAATTCATACTGGAGAGAAGCCTTATGAATGCAGTGACTGTGAGAAATCTTTCCCTTCTAAGTCACAACTCCAGATGCATACACGAATTCACACAGGAGAGAAACCCTATATTTGCACTGAATGTGGGAAGGCCTTCACCAACAGGTCAAATCTCAATACTCACCAGAAATCTCATACTGGAGAGAAGTCTTATATATGTGCTGAATGTGGGAAAGCCTTCACTGACAGGTCAAATTTCAATAAGCACCAGACAATTCATACTGGAGAGAAACCCTATGTTTGTGCTGATTGTGGGAGGGCTTTTTTCCAGAAGTCAGAGTTAATTACACATCAGAGAACTCATACTACAGAGAAGCCTTATAAATGTCCTGACTGTGAGAAATCCTTCTCCAAGAAACCACATCTCAAAGTACATCAACGAATTCACACAGGAGAGAAACCATATATATGTGCAGAATGTGGGAAAGCGTTCACTGACAGGTCAAATTTTAATAAACACCAGACAATTCATACTGGAGATAAACCCTATAAATGCAGTGACTGTGGAAAGGGCTTTACTCAGAAATCAGTTCTGAGTATGCATCGCAGTATTCATACATGAAAGTAACCGTTTCTTGAAAATGAGAAAGCCTTATCACAGAAGTCAGGTCTAAGTGTATATCATAAAATTCATCCAAGTCAGATCCTATATGAATATATTGCAAATAAAAAGTACTTGTCAGGTTCTCTCACCTGAAATGAAAAAAGCTATTTAGAAGAGATCCTCTAAGAATGCATTGAATGAAGGGGAATTTTCATATTTGTACAGTTTCACAAAATATAATAGAATTCATACTAGGAAAAATGCTGTCAGTTCGATGAGTTAGGAAAAAAGCCTTCCTATTGTAAAGAAAGTATTATAAAGCAGATTGTTACCAAATTCTTTATAGATGGAGTGTGCAAAATTATGTAAATGTCAGCCATGTTTACTGTGTTAAGCAATGTCAAGTGACAACAAAATGAAAGGACAACAAAATAATATATCTGATGTATAGACCTACTGTCAGTTCTGTAGGTTGTTTGTGGCAGAACACGTTGCACAACAGGAGGAATAATTGAAGTTCTTTTAAAAAACTTAATATAATTGTACCTATCAAATGTGTTTTTCTATTGAGTTTTTCTCACATGAATTCATAGTTTTAGTCATGGTTTTATATATACACACATCTGTAGATATAATTTTACATGAACACATAAATGTAATCCTGTCATTCATACTGGTTTCCATGACATGTTTTTATCCTTTTCATTGTGGTACAATGCAAAAAAGCCACATATATCTCCCATCCTTTTTTTAAAAACAGGTTTTTATTGATTTCAGAGATAGGAAGAGAGAGGGAGAGAGAGAAACATTGATCGGTTGCCTCCTGCAAACCCCCTACTGGAGATAGAGCCCACAATCCAGACATGCACCTTGACTGGAAATTGAATTGTGATTTCTGGATTATGGGTCAATGCTCAACCACTGAGCAACACCGGCCGGGATCTCCCATCCTTTTATGCATGTTCCTTTGCAGGGTGACTCTGTTGTCTCTCTTATTAAGAGGCAGAGCTTGCCCTGGCTGGTTTGATTCAGTGGTTAGAGCATCACGATTCATGGTCAAGAGCACGTACCTTGGTTGTAGGTTCCCTGTCCCTGGTCAGGGTGCATGTGGGAGGCAACCAATTGATGTGTCTCTCTCACATTGATGTTCCTCTCTCTTCCCACCCCCCTCCCTTCCACTCTCTCTAGAAATCAATGGAAAAAATATCCTCTGGTGAAGAGTTTAAAAAAAGAGGTAGAGCTCTCTTTCTCTTCTTAACTCTGAGGTTGGCCATGTGACTTGCTTTGACCACTGTACATTAGCAAAGAGATTCAAGAAGGGGCTGGAGAAGTGTGAAAAACGCCTGCCTTGAGGCGTACTCTCTTGCTACTCTTTGGAATTTTAGGACCTTCATATGAAGAAGCATAGGTTATTCTATTGGGGGACGAGAAACAAGATGGGGCAGAGATGAGCCAGCCTAGCTGAGGTCCTTTAGGCCAACTGCCAAACATGGTAGTGTGGCCTCCCTTGACGTCCAGCCCTAGCCAAGCCAGCCCATATTAGAAGAGCCATACCAGTTATCCCAGCCAACCTGGAGAATTGTGAGATAAATAAAACAATTATTGTTTTAAACTGCTAACTTTTGGAGTACTTTGTTGCACAAAAAATGCTTAATTCTTAAAAGTGTATAGTATTGTAACAAAACATAAGGCATGTGACATTGGCTTTGGACCTGGGCAGCAAGTGGAGATGAAAACAATGAGGGAAACAGTTAAGAAAGGCTGGAAAAGATGGCATTCCATGTTATCTAGTAAGGAAAAAAATAGCAAAACAGTCACCATGCTCTGTGGGAAAATAGTGACCAAATGAACTTGTGGATCTGGCTAAGATTTCCAACAGAACGTTGGAAGTATTAGCTTGCCTCTATTAGCTGCCTATAAGATACAGAGAAATATGAACTAAGACAGTGACTATTCCATTTACAAGCAGAATTAAGAAATACAAAAAAAATCCAGGACTTTCTGGGTTAGAAAATAACTGTTTCACATCTCCAATCTCTCCAGCCATCAAAATATTTTCAAGGTGAAAAATGGCCTCAGGGTAGATATCAAGTCATGAGTGTGACTATAAGACACTTTGTTAAAATGTATGAAATATTTAAGTTGGTATTTCGGAGACCCTCTCAGCTAAACTAAATGACATTGTCCCCAGTAGCCTGACGCACTGCTCAAAGTAGAGAGGAGCCTGTCTTAAAAAGAATTGTCAATGTGGCATTTGAGGCATAGAGTAAATACAAACCAGATTCATAGAAAACCTTTAAAGTTTTTAATAGAGTTTTACTAGTGAAACTAACTCCAGGCTGGACTTAAAGGGACAGAAATAGTCCAGAAAGAAAGGTGACATCTGGACCCCCTTCTCTAACTTTTGTGAATAGGAATGAAGCTGAGAAAGTTACTCAGCTGCAAGCATGGGCCATTTCTATTGGGAAAAGAAGGACATCTCAGAGAGAAGACCCAAGAACAATATGTTAAAATGGACTGGGGAGCCATTCCCAGGTAGAACTGTGACCTAATCAAGAAACATCTGCCCCTGTAGCAGGGAGACTTGACAACATTTCTTCTGTGGGATTTTAGAATTGTTATGGATCAGTGACAGATATGTTCCTCTTTCTGCTTCTTTTGAATTGGAGTATCACAGTTAATTCTGTTCCATTGTGTGTGTGTGTGTGTGTGTGTGTGTGTGTGTGTGTGTGTGTAGGAAGGCATGTTCATATAACTTGTCATTTAGCTCACAGGTCTCTGGATCAAAAAACTGAGAAGCTGCACTCAAAGAGCCTCAACCACGTCTGGACCTGAGAAGACTTGAGGTCCTGGATTTGAACATGGTGCCATAATTTGGGATGAGGCATTTGGAGGTCTTGAAATGGGGTGAACATATTGTTGCATGGTATGGTAATGTAAATAAAATAATTTCTGAACAGAAAATAGACTGTATTAACTAGAAAAGTGCTACAAATTTGTCCTATCCCTACATGTATGCCTCTTTTTAATCTTTATTTCTCTGTGTTTTAGTTGGGATAATTTCTATTAACCTATCTTCAAGTTCATTACTTTTAACCCCTACCCTGGCTCTGTCAGGTCTACTGATGAGGCCATTGAAGGCATTCTTCATCTCAGTTATGTTTTCTTTTTTATTTCTGATATTTTCAGTAGACTCATAGTTTTCATCTTTCTGCTGAAATTCCCCATCTGTTCATGTCTGTTGTTCACATTTTCCACTACTCTCTTTAACATATTAAATCATCATTATTTTAAATTTCCTCTTTAGTAGTTATAACAACTAGATCACCTGAATCTGGGTCTGTTGATTGCTTTGTCTCTTGACAGTCTATTGTTTTCTCTTGCTGTTTTGAATCTAACAATTTTTGGCTGAATGTCAGATGTTGTATGTAGAAGAGTAGAAACTGAGGTAAATAATACTTTTTCCTGGAAATAAACATGACTGATTTTCTGATAGGTCATTAGTGTGGGAGGATTGAGTCTATATAGTGAGGATTTGGGCTGAGTTTGGGTTTTCTTGTTGCTCTGCGTACCTTCAGTGTACCATAGACTTCAAACTTATATAGTGTTACCTTGTGTTTAGGGCAGGGGCTGATTTTCCAGAGAATTTTTCTCAGTGTTCCTGCATCACCCTGGTCTTTAGGCTTTCCTGTATGCATGCATCTCAGGGAGGATCTCTCTCTATGCTCTTGCCTTTCCCTTAAGTAGTAGACTGCTATTATTACTTGGGTCTTAGTGACCTATTGAGTGGCAGGGGGTGGGGAGCAGGAGTTGTTTGGCCAGCCTTAGTTTTAGGAAAGTCCTGTATCCATAGGTCTTGAGAGTGGGTCTTTTTCAGTGATCCTGCCCCTTCCTACTGGTAAAAGGTCTTTAATGGTCTGGGCCCAGGAAGATTGCTTGCCCTTCCTCCATGAGTGGTGATTTTTTTTCCCTTTTCCCTTCCTCTAGTCACAGTGGATCTTACCTTTGTCTCAGAGGTAACAGGATTTGCTCTACTATTCCCCAGTGATTTAAAGCTTTTGTTCTATAAGGTAGTAGGATCACACTGGGGCTTTGTGCCATTCCTGTATCAGCAGCTGTCTCATTGCAAGCCTACACCACTGAGAGAGGCTTCCTTCAATATCCTGCCCAACACCAATGTTTTGTTTCGTGAGCACCTAGTTGAGGTCTCTGGGGAAGAGCCTGCAAGTGGGGGCCAATTACCCTTAGGTCTCCAACTCTCAGGGGTTCTATATTTCCACACTATACCACACTCAGCCTTTAGAACTTCATTAAAAATTCTTGTTGAGGGGAAGATTAAAGATGGCAACAGACTGAGTGGAAGCTACACTGACAGTCTCCTGGGACCAAACTGGAATTACAACTAAAATATGGAAAAACCATCCTGAATAATCAACTGCAACTGAAGACAAGCTGGAGACCACCCTCATAACCAAGGAGGAGAAATGGAGACTGCATAGCGACTTGCAGGAAGTGTAGAAGTGTGAGAGGGCTTGCTGGACTCCCATAGGCAGCAGCTGAATGTCCAGAGGGATATCTCAGCTATAGGGGGTTCCCACTGAGGACTTAAACCCCAGGCTGGGCTTCCCAGCCCAGAGCACCAGAACTGAGAAAGGTGTCCACATAATATCTGGCTTCAAAAAGCAACAGAGTTTCTGTCTGCTAGGGAGAGACAGCTGGAAATGCAGGCACCCTCTTAAAGAGCCAACTCACAAAGTTTCGTTTGCAGCCACTCACTTTGGGCTCTAGCAGAAGGAGGGCAGAGTGGACTGGAGCTGTGTGAGGAGAATCTAGGGAGGCTGGCTGGGGAAATAGATCTCAGAGGGCACCCCCCTGGATTCCTGTGCAGAGTTATTCCCCCATACTGCAGAGGACATCTTTCACAGGCAGGCATTTAACTTCCAAGCAGTTTTTGCCTGAGGGGGAAGCAATTGCCCCACCCTGTTGTGAAAACTCTTGCCCTACCCCGTGGAGTTTCTAGAGCCTGAGGCTCATGGGAATCATTAATCAGCCTGCAGGCAGAGGCAGACCTCAGAGCACTTTGAGTCTTTGCCTGATCTGCTTCTGGACCCAGTCCTTGGAAAAGCAGACTTTGGTGTGCATCTTGGTCCTGTTCAAATGCACTCAGCCCCAACAGACGGGACCTCAAGCCGTGAGTTGTTGATAGTTCCAAATAGGGTACTCAAGGCCAGTCACAAAAAGCATCTGACATTGGCCTGCACTAGAGACCTTCCAAAAAGACTGGAAGTCTTAGCAGATCTAATACATAGAAACAAACTCAAATAGGCAGCCAAAATGGGGAGACAAAAAAAGCCCCAAATGAAAGAACAAGAGAATTCTCCAGAAAAAGAGCTAAATGAAATGGAGATAAGCAATCTATCAGATATAGAGTGCAGAATACTGATTGTAAAGATGCTCAACAGCATGAAAAATGGTATGGAAAATGAAAAGTGACCAGTCAGAAATGAGATTAAATCAAGCACAAGAGAAAATGATGCTATCAAGAGATGCAGTAAACATGAAATGTATGCGGCTGCTGCTGGTTTAACACAACATGCTGTTTTACAGCAAACTTTTTTTCCTGAGAAAGAGTACACTCTAATGATAAAAATATAGAATAGTAAATACATAAACCAGTAATAGTCATTTATTATCATTATCAAGTATTATATACTGTATAAAATTGTATTGCTATACTTTAATATGACTGGCAGCATAGTAGGTTTGTTTATACCACAAACACATGCTATGA